AAAAAAAAAAAAAAAAAAGAACAAGACCTACATTCAACTTTCACAAATCTCAGTAAGTTTGAAGAAGCAGAAGATAAAGACTATTATAACATTTTTAAACATTACCAGTTTTAACCTTTCTTTTCTCCTTTTGCCAAAGGACGCACTTGACCCAGGTTCTGATTCCTTTTTGCCATCCTCATCCTCATCTTCATCTTCATCATCCTCAAAACACCAATCTGGTAATAGAGGTGGGGGTGGTGCTTCCTCTATATCACCATAGCGACGAAAAAGTTCCTTCAAATAATCACCCTTATAGATTCCTGGTGGTCTGGCTTGGGCAAAAGTAGCAACTGCTGCTTCGATACTATGGGAAACAAATACCATTCAATGTTCTCACTATTCTACATTTATGCAGACTTGTCAAAACTCACTTATTAAACTCAAGGCATCATATAAAGTATAACAGAGGTTTATAAAACACACAAATCATAGTCCTTGCTCTCAAGGCAGTCTATCTATTCAGGTACAAATTCATTCTGAAAGAGTTTTCATGTAAGGTACACTGAAAATATCTAAACTCTAGAAGTAAATTGCCATGAGGATATAGTAAAGATCTGGGTACTGCCTGAAGAATTTAAAGTTCTGAAGGCTGAGTTCTGCACTAAGCCTCAAGGAAATGTGAGTAGCAATGTGAACAAAAGTAAAAGCACGTTGATTTTACAAGAACTCCCAACAGACTCAAACACTTAAGAAACGGCAGAGGTGATCAGAAAAAAAGATAAGTGCAGGCAGAGTCTGATACAGGAGCCTAGGGCTACTGTGTGGGGCATCTAGGAAGCGTGTGCAGTGGAAAGTTGCTGAGGACGTCCACTGGAAAAGGCACATCTGATGTGTACTGCGGCTAATTATATTCAAAACACCCATTCTGTGCACATGCCTTTGTCCACATGAATGACCAACTAGTAGTCCACTGTGTGTATAAAAAGCAAATAAATAATGATCTTCAATCAGTCAACAAGAAAATTCAATATCTCATTGCCTTAGGACATCAGCAAACTAAGGGTCTAATTTCTCAGGACATAAAAACAAATAATAGGGTGCTGAATAAAGTCATGCTGATTGGCTTAAATGGAGCAACCTGCTCCCAAAAATACTTACTTCATATAGAATTATGAGCTTTTCCTAGTACTCAACAGCTATAAAAAAAGATACTACAGGTTGAGTATCCCTAAACCAAAAATATAAAATCCTTAGGGTAGAGAGAATAGAAAATTATAAATTAAATTTTAAAAAGACACACACACACAAAGGCTGGTGCAGTGGCTCAGGCCTGTAATCCTAGCACTCTGGGAGCCTGAAGCAGGAAGATTGCTTGAACTCAGGAGTTCAAGACCAGCCTGAGCAAGGGCAAGATTCTATCTCTACTACAAGTAGAAAACAATTAGCCTGGTGTTATAGTGGATGCCTATAGTCCCAGCAACTTGAGAGGCTGAGGCAAACGGATCACTTGAGCCCAAGAGTTTGAGGTTGCTGTGAGCTGTGACATCATGGCACTCCACCCACGGCACAGAGTGAAACAGACTCTGTCTCAAAAAAAAAGACACATACACACAAAAGTGTGAAATTCAAAATGCTCCAAAAACTAAAACTTTCTGAGCACCAGCATAACATGCAAAAGACAAGATTAGGGATGCTGGCTCGGTTCCTGTGGCTCAAGTGGCTAAGGCACCAGCCATATATACTTAAGGTGGTGGGTTCGAATCCAGCCCGGGCCACAAAAAACAACAATGATGGCTGCAACCAAAAAATAGCCGGGCATTGTGGTGGGCACCTGTGGTCCCAGCTACTTAGGAGGCTGAGGCAGGAGACTTGCTTGAGCCCAGGAGTTGGAGGTTGCTGTGAGCTGTGATGCCACAGCACTCTACCCAGGGGGACAGCTTGAGGCTCTGTCTCAAAAAAAAAAAAGATTAGGGATGCTAAAAAGGTAAGTATAATGCAAATATTCCAAAATCCAGAGGAAAAAAATCTAAAATCTGAAACACTTTTGTTCCCAAACATTTCACATAAAGGATGTTCAACCTGTACTAAAAAGGAATAGAACAACAATAATAACTTCCATATCTGAATACAAACACAGACAGTAAGTCCACAGTTTATGGGACTCCTAAGCATTCAAAAGTGCTACTTAGCACAAAACACAGGTCACAGCAGTCTAAAGATTATTTTATCTCTAAAATGAAAACCATTATATATTACACATGTCTTAATCATGAGTTCACCAAAAACTTGGCAATATAAAATTCTACAACTAAAATATCAATAAAATTATTACAAGGTACATCTTCCATTATAACAAGACACAAATACCTCCAATCCATTTTCTCCACCAAAAAGGCACATATGAGGAAACCAGTACGATTGAAACCATGGGTACAATGAACACCTAGAAAATAAAGTAGTTTTTGTTTAAAATTAAGAAATCACTTCAAAAGCCACACTTTACTTTAAAATTCCAACCTGCAATCAAAACATTTCAGTTATTTTCTAAAGTAACTACATTAAAAAGTAACCTTGAAACAGAACTTAATAGCTTGTCGGCTTAAGTTACTTATAATCTAACTTATAGCGCTAGCTAGAAGTTTAATATAATAGTTTGATTTATTGGTTAAAAACTACCTCTATTGTCTAAGATTTCTCTTAAAACTAAAAGATGCCACACATTTTAAACAAGGTTTTTACAAACATACAACTCAAAAGGACATACAAACACACGCACGCACACACACAACACTTCTGATCTATAAACTTTGAATAAATTTTTCCAGTAGTCCTCTTTATGATAATATCACAATTTGCAAGAGATTCAAATCAAAAAAAAAGAGAGAGAGAGTCAAATCATAATTTTAAAAATCCAGAAACTAAAAAAAAAGCAAATAAACTATTGGAAATATAAACTCTGGGGGTTAATCCTAATTGAATGCAATTAAAGTGGCTACAAAAAATAATTAACTGATTGATATACAATAAATAAATACTCTGAATCTTAACTGTGGTTTCCCCAGTGTCAAAACTCAATGAATGCTATTTATTATATATAACATATAACTCAACATGCTGATTTTTTTAAGTAGATGTTAAGTGAAATGTTTCCACCAGTCTACAACTGGCATTAATGACACAATCCAAAGGTTAGTGCTCACAATATGGCCTTGTTCTCAGTAATTCACTTTACAAAAATCAGGCTATAAATTTGATACATTTTTAAATGGGTATCAATAAAATATCACTTTCATCTTGTTTCTACATTGTAGTAAAATTTCTTTTAGAAAAAGATATTTGCAACTTAAAAGCAATTTTTGAAAAGCACTATCAACTGAACCAAATCGCCCATTTCTACATCCATAGTATGAAAAAAAGATCATTAACATTTAAATAAAACCTTAGCCAATTAACAACTCTCAATAAACAAGGATACAAAAGAACAGGAGAAAATAGGAAAAATCTGTGTAAATGTAAACATATGAATCAGAAAAGCACACACAGCAAACTATAAATAAGTCAGAATGGTCATGGTATAGAATGTGATAAGGAAGGTGAAGTACAGTTGGAGAGAAAAAGGGGCTTAAAATCCTGAAGAAAATCCACAAAGAAACTTGTACACTAAACTAAACAGACTGTAAAAATAATGGGGAGATATTAAAGAAGTCTAAGCATGTCAATAAAATGTTTAGGTTCTAGACAAACTACTGGCATAGCAGCTGACATAAGAATGAGAGGGAATCCAGCTGGAGGCCACCCCAGGAATTACTGCGTGAGACAAGAGTCATGGTGATGGGAGAAACAAGAAGGGACAAATTGAAGCCATAAAGGTTGACTCTGCAATGTAAGAGGCAAGTGACTGCCCAGACTGAGAGAAAAGATGTAAAAAGTGTCTTTTGTTTCTAAGCTGGGTGACTAGTTGAGCAGTAATATCATTTTACTACCTTAAGAAATATAAGAACTTAAATCATTCTTCAGGCAATGAAGTCAGGTTCGGACATGCTAAGTTTAGATTTTTATGAGACTTTAAAACATTTGGAAATAATAGTAAAAAGCTTCAAGGAAAAGCTTGACAGGTGCTGTAGATTCAAGAATAATCAGCATAGACTCAACTATAGAAAGCTGCTGCTGGTGTAAATCACCAAGAATCAGTACATAAAATAAGAATATTAGAGATGGAATCTGAGGAAAACTAATCTTTTCAAGAATAAGTTAGAAAAAAACATAAGAAGTACTAAGAATAAACTGCCAAGAAAAGATAACTTTCAACTGTTCAACTGTTTAAATGTCATTAGAACCAAAAGTCACTGTTTGATTAAAAGTACTCAGCAAAGGACTCCAGACTACAATAAAGTGAATAGGAATAAATGGATTCAACAGGAAGAAATGTGTGTGTGTGTGCGGGGTTCTTATTTTCTCGAGGATGGGTAGAATATTTACCAGGAAATGCCATGGTATGTTTATAGGCTCAAGACAAGGACCTAGTTAAATCACAAAGGATGACAACAATAGAAATGATATAACTATAATGAAGGAAAGGTAAGAAATATAAAGAGATCAACCTTGAACAGAAAGACACTCCTTAGAAATAAATAGCTATGACCATGAAATTCTATAAATTCCATTATCTCCATTCCTTTATAAGAAAAGGTGCTTCAAAAAAGTCTCACAAAGATGTGAGTTATGAGCAGATTTTTGTATGCATGTATCTTAACCCAACATGTAAATTTCTTTTCCATCCTATAGCTCAGATAAATTTAAGCAACAAATATTTCAACTTTAGTTGATGTTTCTCACCTAAACCAATTTTTGTCCCAATTTTCACTTTTGCAAAAATAACAAAATATTTTTACAAAAGGAAATGTCAAAGCCATGCACTGTGGCTCATGCCTGTAATCCTAGCACTCTGGGAGGCCAAAGTGGGTAGATTACTTGAGCTCAGGAATTTGAGACCAATCTGAGACCAACCTAAGCAAGAACAAGACTCCATCTCTAAAAATAGCCCAGCATTGTGGCAGGTGCCTGTAGTCTTAGCTACTTGGGAGGCTAAGGCAAGAGAATCACTTCAGCCCAAGAGACTGAAGTTGCTGTGAGCTATGACAACATAGCACTCTACCCAGAGCAACAGAGTAAGACTCTGTCTCAAAAAAAAAAAA